GGTTACAAGCACCAGCTCCTGGCAGGGACCTTCCTCTGACCACAGCTCCCAGCCCCTCCCTCCAGCCTTTCCACCGCCTCAGTGCATACGGGCCTCTCCAGGGCAACCTGCTCAAGTTCACCTCCCTTTCCCTTTCCCGCCGCACCTCACTGGCGTGCATTTCAGCCTTGTCCCCAGCGCCCAACCCCAACAACCCTTAACCCCGCATCAATCCAAAGGCCAGCTCTACTGCCAAATAGGCCAGCTGTGCCCTATTTGCTGGATGAGTTCTTCCTCCTCCTACTAGGCCCAGGGCAATCAGGGCACCCTCCGTGCAGCAACCTCCCAGCCCTTCCTTTGAGCTGGTAAATCCCTTCTCTGTTCCCATAGCCCAGGGGTGGGGAACCTTTCTTCTGCCAAGGACCACTGGGGTGTCTATAACATCATAAAATTATCAACTTAAAAATTAGCCTATCCTTGGCCAAACATTTAATTAAGGCATCCCTAATGCCTTGGCAGGGCCAGACCAAATGATTTTGGGGGCCTTATACAGCCCATGGGTGGGCCGTTCCCCATCCCTGCCATAGCCCTTTGAAGATACATCTATACGGGCTCTTTTCACATCAGAATAGCTTTGTTTCCACATCATCTATACCAAACTCTGAGTTCTCTGAGAGCAGGCTAGGTCTCTGGCTTGTTTGTGCTTGCATCCATGACGCCTGGCCCATAGTAGGTGCTCAACAAATAATAAATGTTAAGTGAATGAGCAAATGGGTGAGTGGAGTTCCCTCAACATAGGAAGCCCTGCAGAAGCAGATGCTGGGAGTGATCCGCCTGCTGGCTGCAGTGACATGCCCTTGTTCACCTCCTCACAGGCCACAGTGTAACAATGAGTGGAGACAGAGATGGCGGCGTGGCCACTGCGTCCTATGCATTCTCTCTCACATCAGCTAGTTCTAAGGAAGCCGGAGCATGTCAGGGATTCGGGACTCACGGGCACATGGTCCTGGGCCATGGCTGCCCACACTGCACGACTCCAGAAGGCACCCCTGGGGTTCTGCGACATGGCAGCACTGCGATGATCGGTCTGAGGCACCTGGTGGCCAGTGCCGCGTTCTGTCTTGGCCATTTTCTCAGAAACTTGAGAGGCCAGGAGGACCATCTGACCAAATTACCCTCTCATGCCAACTAGTTACAGAAGCAATGAGGTCAGAATGGTCACTTCCAGTGAATGCAGAGGCCAGCAGATTCAAGGGGTCAGTCCGGGAGAAGCTATGGGAAACCAGGAGGCTAGCAGGTGCCATGGGTGGATTCAGGCCACTATAATGGCCTTGTTCTCTGCCACAGAAGTCTGTGATGGAATGAGCTCCCCATCGCCAGGGGTATGCCGGCAGAGGCTTTATGGAGAAGGTACAGGGGACCTCTGCAGACTAGAGCCGTCTTCTTTCCAGGGCATTCATCTGACGCATAGTGAGTACCTGCTCTGTGTCAGGCGCCATGGGCTCACTGGGACCCAGCCAGTACTTAGAGACCCAGACAGACATGAGCCCAGTTCAACCAGCCAATATTTAACTGAGTTCACTGACGAGCTTTAGAAGAGGCCGTGAGGGTGGGGCCCTTATGGTGACGTTAGTGCTCCTATAAGAAGAGACGCCACAGAAGTCTCTTGCTCTCTGTGCCATCTGAGGACACTGGGAGGGGGCAGCCACCTACAAGCCAGGAAGGAAGCTCTCACCAGAAACTGACCATGCTAACGGCTGGGTTTTGGATCTAGCCTCCAGCACTGCGAGAAAATGAGTTCCTGTTGTTTAAGCCGCTATGGTGTTCTGTGCAGCAGCCTGAGCTGACTAGGACACGCCCTGGCCAGCAAGCTCTAATCTCACCGTAGGGCAGGGTCTGCCTGGGGCAGCAGCCTCGCCTGCCGGCTTCTGTCTCAGAGGGCAGGCTGGAGCGGGCGAGTAGCTGGCGGTGAAGTCTGGTTCAAAGAACCAGCTTTGATTTTATTGGTTTTTCTCAATAGTTTTCTATTTCATTGATTTCTGCTCTTATCTTTATTATTTCCTTCCTTCCGCTTGCTTTGGGCTCTCCAAAGACCTTAAACATTGTTATATGGGACATATTGATTGTTAACTCCATTGAAGGGGATAAATATTAGCCATCATTTACAGTTGAGGATCTGAAAGAGGTTAAGTAACTTGCCCAGTGCCCCGAAGCTACCAAGTGGTGGAGCCAGAATTCAAACCCAGGACTTCTAACCATTGGACAACACTGCCTCCCAGCCAGAGCCTTCACTGCGCCAGATGCCTCGCCAAGCACGGTCAAGGAGAGCCGCTTCTCGGTGTCCCTCGGACATCCGTGTTTCCTGTCTTCCTTCCCAGTGACCATCAACTTTCCTCGGGGTCTACTGGCAATCCTCCCAGTTCCCTTGACCGAAAGGTCCCGGGGCTGCCCTGTCCAGGGAGACAGCCTTCAGAACCGCCTTGGCACTTACCTTGGACTTGGCTGAACTGCAGGTGGTGGGATCTGTTGGTGAGAACAGAAAGGAAAAGGAACGTTGGATGGGGCAGGAGCAGGCTGAGACGTGTGAACACGATTCCCTCTTCAAAGGCTTCAGAAACCAGGGAGTCCAGAAACCCGAGACCCCCCTGGGCCTGGGCCATCCTGGGCCTCTGAGGCCAGTTCCAATGGGGTAGGGATGGAGCAGAGCAGGGTGTCAGTCACCGCTTCCTTGTGAGGCAGGACGGGCCACCAGGCTGCCAGCCACTGACGCCTCATGTGCCCAGGGTTAAGGGCAAGAGGGGCTTCTGGGGGGCCTAGTTCCTCTCCCCCTCCTCTCCCGGTTACTATGAAGCAGTGGAGAGAAAATGCCCGGTACCAGATGCAGTCCACGAAACCACAACAGTGAGACACAGCAAATCACAGATGCTCTGGAGAATGGAGACCACACAGTGCAGAGAGGAGGGTGCCTGACATCCACCCTCACCCCCACTTGCAGGACATGAGAGGACCATGTGAATGAATGATCGAATGCAGGGCCGACAGGAAGTAGGTGGGACACAGGAGGCAGAGTGGCCTGGGGGCTAGAGCCCTGCTCGGTTCCCCGTCCAGACGTGAGGCCCTCGTTTATAACGGAGAGTCAAGTCATGATTACCTCCGTGGGGCTTGGGTCCCGCACCCGGAATATGACGGGGGTGGAGAAGGGACCACAACCAAGCCCTGCAGCGTCTCCTCCAGAACGGGCAGGGAGCAGGCTGATCCGTGCCCTCCCCGGCCCGAGGGGGCAGTGGGCAGTGCAGTTAATCCACACTCTCTGGCAAGCAGGTTAGAGGCCTCCTCCCCAGCCCACCCCGCTCATGGTGAGAAGAGCAGATGTGCTGACCACACAGCGACACACCACGGGGCAGGGGAGCGGCAGCGGGTGACTAGAAGAGACGAGGGCTCCTCTGCCATCCCCACCCCTGTCGTCTGGGCCCTCCCCCCGCCTGCCTCTTGCAGCTAAGGGTGCTGTGACACACCTCCTGTCGGAGACAGGACCAACGGACCGAGGTGCGGTCACTCCCAGGGTGGGAGGAGTTAGTGGCTGCTCTCCTGTGAGAATGGCCGGAGGCCTGCAAATAGGACTCAGGCTGAGCGACCAGGGGCTCTGGTTTCAGAAGCAGAGAGAGTCCGTCCTTGAAGGGGACTGAGGCAGGAGCTACAGCCATAAGAGGCTTCTGAAAGGTGGTGTCACTGGTGTCCGGAGAGGCTGGGTCCTGCTCCCAGCCAAGCCTCCCCTGCCCAGATCACCAGGCGTAGCCGGGCTGGGCACAGAGAGAAGGCCTGGGGATGGGGATCACCATGCGGTGCCCAGGCTTCCTGGCCAGGGGGACAGGATCTGGCTCTAGCAAGTGCCTCCCTCCTCCTGAGAAGGGCCTTCCGGACGGGAGGGGACTGGCACGGGGTTGTGGGGTTGTTGGCGATCATGGGGAGCTGGCATGTCAGGGTGAGGTCCTCACAGCCCGATGTCCCCGCCTGCCCCTCGTGCCTGCCCAGCCTTCTTATAATCACCCGCCACTGTTAGTGACCGAGGCCGCGACGCCACACTGTACCCTTTAAATCTCCAACAGGTCCGCTGGAGGAGGGGGGAGGGCGGAGAAGAGAAGGAACAGGATCCAGGGTGTGGGAGGAGAGCAGAGGGAGAGGGAGGAGGGATGGAGGGGTGCAAGGAGAAAAGGAAGAAAAATTAAAAAGAGAAACATGCCCAGAAGGACACAGCCCATGAGAAATAAAAAGCTCAGGAAAGAAACCAGTGAAGGAGGGTGGGGAACACGCCTCCCAGCCCCGGGGTGGGGGCAGCTGAGCAGATGAGGGGGTGGGCGCACAGGCAAGCTGGACCTCCCCAGAGAGAGACGCCCTGCCACAGCCCCTTCTCGGTGGTGGGGGGAGGGAAGGGCCCCACGGGGCAGGAGCAGGGAAGCTGGGCCTCTGGCCGGGCATCTGGGATGGCATCTGGGACCCTCAGGGATGCAGGGCCCCCCCTCACTCCCCCCAGGACCCTGCACTCACCCGGACCTGGGTCGCCAGGGGGCACTGTCCTGCCAATGTTGGGCAGGAGATACTCGATGTTGGGCACTGACTGAGGCTCCTTGTCATCCACAGGGGTCTGCAAACAGAAGGAGGGTCAGCCACCACGCCCTCCGACGGCTAGGCTGGGTCCTGCAGGATGGGGTCCCCTGGAGACAGGGCGCACGTTCCTCCACAGACTGGCTCCGCAGGGCAGTGCTGTCTCCCTCATCACGCAGGCACGCTCGAGGGCAGGTCCGACATGCCTCCGTTGGACCGTTTTGTGCCTCCCCAACACCCTGATCGAGCCCCAAAGTCCTGAGCTGCTCCCTCCGCCGAAGGCAGGAGCTGTGTCTCCCCCACCAGCCTGGACCTTCCTAAGGCTACACCCGCTGCGTAAGACTGAAAGGTGGGCGTCTGCCTTTGCTACCGGACACTGTTTCTTTAGAGGAGGCCTGTATCCCCCCCCCTCCCCCGACTGAGAACTCCCGGAGGCAAGGATGGGTGCTCCTGAGGAGAGGGTCTGTTTCCTCCCTCAGAGTGGGGGGCCACAGGGCGGGGACCTTCTCCTGCTGGAGTCTTGCTTCCCCTGCCCCCAACCTGGGAAGAGGGCCCACCTCAGACCAGACCCCCCACCCCGACCCCCCGCCTGCCCTCTGCACCACTTACTCTCTCTCCCTTGTCCTCGTCATCACTGAAGAACCAGTCTGACTGCAGAGGAGACAAAAGGAAGTGATGAAATCAGCGTGGGAGACGGGCAGACACGGGCTCCCAACCTGCTCAGTCCAGAGCACCCACTCAGGCGCCGGACGGGATGGGACAGGAGGGGGCACCAAGAGGCAAGGGCCCCCCTCTTCTCAACAAACCCCAGGCTGGCCTGGTTGCCAGAGAGGCCTCAGAGGTTGACAGATTCTGGAACCCGACTCCATAGACTATGAGAAACCCTTGGGGAAAGGAAAGATTGGACCCCAGGGTGGGAGGGACATGCAGACGGGAGTGAGAGCGGGTCGGAGTAGAGACTGATGCCCTGCTGAGGGAGAGCTGCTGAGGGAGAGCTGCTGAGGGAGAGCTGCTCTCTGCCTGTCTCTCACTAAACTCTGCCCAGCGCACATCACGAGGGCTGGCCCCCTGCAAGCCAGAAGCAGGGGGCAGCGGTGCCACGTAGGTAGGGCCGGCTGGGCACACTGCAGGGAGGAGGCCCTCCAGCACGACTAGAGCCGAGTATACCCCACACCAGCCCTGGGCTCCACTCTTACAATTGGGGGAGCCCTGGAAGGTGTTAGGAGGTTCCCTGAGGGGCAGGCAGGCAAGAGCTTTCTCATAAACGCCAAACACGATAGAAACTGAAGCCATAAATTCCGCTCTTAGATATGTTTTGTGAAATTTGAGAATCTTAATGATAAAACTCTAAACGTTTTCTAAAAAACAAAACCAGATTGCTTACAAATGAGCAAGTATCAGCTGTAACTAAAACTTTGAGCAGCAACAGACACAACAAGACAAGTAATTATTTCAATGTATTGTTGGATTACAAAGGCAAGAATTTTTTTTTTAATCCTCATCTGAAGAAATGTTTTTTATTGATTTTAGAGAGAAATGAAGGGAGAGAGAGAGAGAGGGAGACGTTAGAGAGAAACATCGATTGGCTGCTTCCCATACACACCCCAACTAGGAATGGAACCTGCTACCTACGTATGTGCCCTGAGTGGGAATTGAACCTGCAACCTTTTTGGTGTATGGGATGATGCTCCAACCAACTGAGCCAGAGCTGCAGGAACTTTGAACCTAGAATTTTATACCCTGCTAAACTCTCTGAGTATATGAGCAAGTAAAGAAATGAATCCAGAGTTGAGCAATAAGCTCTGAGAAATAATGATGGGTAGTAGCATAGAAAAGTCCATTGTTATCAAACCAAGAATGATGCCACACACAAACAAAGTGTATTCGTGACGATCTGGAATTCAAATTCCGAGGGAGAAACCAGTGACAGGTGAAAGGACACTAGTACTTGGCTTTTAGATGTGGTGGAAGGAAGGCATGGAAGACTGATGAGGTTTAGAAATTGATAGTGAAAACGAAACGTAAGTATGGGCTTTGTAAGTATGTGGATTTTATAAATTGTATGATTTTATTATCAGGAAAATAAAAATCAACCCAGCCACAGCAAGGTAGGACAGACCAAAAGGAAATAAGATGAAAATGAGGTTAACAGAAAAAGATTGCATAACAGAAGTAAGTCCTAAAAGTACAAAAGTGACAATAAAGTATATGAGCTAAGCTCACTGATTTGAAGTTAAAACACACAGTCCGGCCGGTGTGGCTCAGTGGTTGAAGTCGACCTATGAACCAGGAGGTCACGGTGTGATTCCCAGTCAGGGCACATGCCCAGGTTGTGGGCTCGATCCCTGGTGTGGGGTGATCAATGAGTGACCTGGCCCTAAAGGTCACAGTGCCAAGGTTGAGAAATGCCAGTGTACGCATAGTAGGTATCACCATGTGTGCTGAGTGACAACTGAACAAATGCCTGGACGAGGTCTGCATTTGAGATCCATTCGAGTTAGTAAACACGTGTGAGCTGGTTGGTGCCTTGCCGCTGAGAGGCCGCACACCTGCGTTTGGTGGTCTCTGCTGACATCATTTTGCTGTGCAACCCTGGGCAAGTCACTCACTGTTCCTCTTCACCCAGTTTCGACCCCCTCTGAGCAATGTGAGGACAGGTCTGATGCCTTAAGGCCACTTCCAGCCCTGCTGCCCATGGATTCCACAGATGACAGGAGTCCCTGGTGGTGGTGGTGGGGGGGGGGGGGCAGCTCATGGCCGCGGCTAGAACTCCCAGCAGGAGGTCACGTCACCCACTAACTCCACTGTCCACGGCCTGGCCGAGGAGTCTCTGCCACAAGTCCAGCCCCTGCCTGGGCTCCTGACCACATTGACCCCTCGCCATAGAGCCTCTGGGCTAGGCAGACCCCTGTAAACCTGGGGGTGGCTAAAGGGCCTGAACAGGGGGTAGCTCATTCCCTCACAACCATCTGGGGCTGATTATGTCCAAATGCCAAGGAGGCAGAAAATGGGTGGTAAAGCCCAGACTGGCATAACCTCAACAGCAATTCATTCATTCATTCATTCATTCATTCATTCAGCAAACACTGCGTGTTCTCTGTGCCGAGCACTGGGCTTGGTGCTGGGAATACACTAGGAAGGAGACCGATAAGCCTTACTGCCCTCACCTGCCCGGAGGAGGGGCTGCTCTGGGTGGGGACTCCCCTCACGGCTTGGGGGGAGAGGAAGTGGACACATTTGGGGCCTCCTTTCTCCCCAAAGGCTCTTGTTCCTGACACCCCAGCTCATCACAGGCCTCAAGTTTCTAGGAACTTGTCCAGGAACCATGGGACTAGCTTCTCTCTCTTCCCTACTGCCCCCCCCCCAAAGCACAGACTCATGGGGGCTCCAGGGGGCTCCCTGTTGGGTTGGAGAGCTGAGCTTTTCCAAGGGAGATAAGCTTCCCCAGACCAAGGCCTCATCAGGATCTCTGATGCTACCTGGTGGCGCTGGCCTCCCTGACAGCTCTGGACCAGGCCTCCAGGCCGGTGGTCCCACTTTTAGGGTGAGAACAGGCCACCATGCTCCCTCTCATGGCTCAGAACCCTGACCACACAGTGAAGGAGAGAAAGAAACCAACAGGCAAGGCCAGTCAGCAAGACCAAAGTGGGCCCCACTGCCTTACCCTCGCCAGCCTTCCTCCTCTGGGACAAGCTGAGGAATCTGCCCTCCCAGTGGGGGGGGGAGAAAAGCACAGGCTACCGTTTATTCGCTGTGTGACCTGAGCAAGTCACTTTACCTCTCTGAGCTCCAGTCCGATTTCCTCAGCTGTAAAATGGGGGTAACACGATCTGGTTTCCCTTCCCTCAAGTCCCTGTGAGGTGGGGGAGGCTAAGGCTCCCCTCCCCCTGATAAGCAGCCAATCTTATTTCTCCTGGCAGGAGGGGGTCTAGCTGGACCACAGGCCATACCAACATTTGGAAATGGAGAGCTGAGAGGGGTCAGAAAAAAATCCTTGCGTGCCCAGCAGGGGGCACTGCTGCCCTGGGTTTGGCTCTGGAAGATGAAGGCCTCCTGGGCCCTCTGCTGGCCACTCTCGGCTCTCATCCTTCATGGACAAGAACAAGAACCCTGAGAAACAGGCCTCTGGGGCCTCCACGCAGCCGAGAGAAGGGAGGGGACCAGCCCAATATAAACAGCAGGAGTGCAGGGCCCGCCTCAGACCATGCCTTTCCTGCCCCATCCGCCTCCGCCCCACCCGCGGCATCACCATTTCCTCCGCCCCTGCACCCTGCCCCGTCTGCAGGTTTATGCAAGGACACCACTCGGCCTCTCCACCTCTCCAGGGCGGGCGCTTCTGAAGGTGCCCCTGCACTCACCCCTCTGCTCTCCAACCTTCCTCCTCCCTCTGACCCTCACACACATCTTGGAAGCTCAGGGGCCTCCTGTTTCTTCTGCTGGGGACCTGGGGAGTCCCCGACGGTAGGGATTCCAGGATCTATTCCGGTTTGGCCTTGAAGGGCATTCCCCACCCAGCAGCGTTTTCTTAAGCTGCCTCAACCGTCCCTGTGCACACCCACCCGGCGAGCAGCAGCGAGGAGCCCAGGGCCCGTGGCCACTTACATGCTGGATCAGCGTCTCCACGATCTTGTATCGGTCAGGCATGTGCGTCACCATGTCGGCCATGTTGTCCTCCGACGTCCTCACCAGCGTCGGCCCGAAGACCAGGGCCAGGTTCCGGGGCTCCATCTGGGCAGTGGGGGGAGCAGGTCAGTGCCAATAACCCTGGGAGCCTGACTCCAGTCCCCCAGGTGTCCCTCACTCTGGGCCCCTCGAGCCCCTCCCTGAGCCGTCCCTGGCTTAGGGGCTGAACGCCTCCTGGTGTGGGCGTGGAGGTGCCTGGTACATAGAGCACAGGCCAGGTTTCAGCCCCCTCCCTCCCAGGTCTAGCAGCCAGGGGCAGCACCCAACCTGCACACCATACTGTGCTGGCAACGGGGGATCCTGGAGTGGGGACCCCCTGGAGTTCCCAGGCTGTCTTAGGACTGAGAGAAACCCTATAGCTCCCCGCATTTTCCCCGCTGCAGAACCAGAAGATAATACGAGGTGTGATTTGGAAAAAGCATTGCAAGGAATTCCAGCTAAATCAGAGGATGGGTTTTCTCTTCTTTCTTTTTTAAAACATATTTATATTGATTTCAGAGAGGAAAGGAGAGGGAGAGAGAGATAGAAACATCAATGATGAGAGAGAATCATTGATCGGCTGCCTCATGCTCACCCCACATGGGGGATGGAGCCTGCAACCCAGGCACGTGCCCTGACCGGGAATCGAACCGTCGTGACCTCCTGGTTCATAGGCCGATGCTCAACCACTGAGCCACGCCAGCCGGGCCAGAGAGGGGCAGAGGGAAACTAGTTTTCGTTCTCAGCCCTGGCCCCGCAGAGGGCAGAGCAAGGGGCCAGCAGGGAGGATGGACTTTCACCAGCCACAGGAGACAGTTCCGAGGGAGGAGCTCTGGCGGGAGGAGTGGCTTGAGAGGATCTGACCCAGAGGAGCTCATAATGTGTGAGGAGACCCAGGCATGCTTCCCCCCCCCCCCATTGGAGCCCCACCCACCTTGTTTTTCTCCGAGTGGTCAGCGATGGTCTTCAGATGGCCCACGAGGAATTTCAGTGTCTCATAGTAGTGTCCTGGGAGGTCCCTGATCTGGGCAGGAGAGAGAAGAGGCATGGGATCAGACTGTCATGGGCTCCCACTGCCATACCTCATACCTCAGGGGCTCTGGAATCCACCCTCTCACTTCCCCCCCTCCTCCCCCGGAAGAGATGGAGAAACTGAGGCCTTGAGTGGGGAAGGGCTTCCCAAGGTCACAGCGGGAACTGGTGGCACTGGACTCCGGGCCTCCTGGGACCTCGGTGCTCTCCCAATCCAGGCTGCCTTTGGCCCGACAGCGTCTCTTTCCTTACCAGTTTCCGCAGCGTTTTCAATCGCTCCCTCGAGTCTTCAATGCGATTGGCTTCGATGAAGTCGTTGTATTTGTCTAGAACATACCAAAGACCCTTTAGAGGAAGGGGACAAGCTTCGGGCTGAAGGGCAGGGCGGCCTGTTCTGTTCCGGTTCCGAAGGGCACCGTGGCCTTGTGCTCACGGGACCAAACCCCACCGCTGTCCTCAGTGTGCACCTGACCTGGGGTCGCCGAGGTGTGCACATCCGGGAAGAACTAAGACCCGAGTTATATGTCATACTGGAAAAGGGGTCCCGGCACCGGTCTCCAGGACAAGGACACCACAAGGTCAGGTGCGAAGGTGACTCAGACAGAGGAAGGGGCCTTTCAGTCTCCACACACCCCACCCCGCCCCACCCCACCCCGCCCCGCCCCGCCCCACCCCACCGGTGTCAGGATTCCCCCGACTCCCTTCAGGGGTCCATGGGAAACTTTTAAAAAATGGAACGCGGTAAGTTTACTCGAAACTTCATCTGGATGAGTAAAGGCATGAGGAGAGCCTTTACTCGTCTTCGAAGGCAGAATGAGGAGGAAGGAATTGCCCCACCGGATACCGAAGCAAACGATAGAGGGAGCGGATGCTCGCTCTGTGTTTTTGGAGGAAAAAGTGAATTGGCCTCCCCCTCCCAAGGGGGAAACGGTGTCGCCTGGGGGCATTTTTTTTTGGGGGGGGGCCCCTTTATATTGATGGGATTGGGGGGGAGTTTTCCTTATCCTCTTTCCCAGGGGTTCCTTTTTCCCGCGGGGGGGGGGGGGGGGGGGGGGGATCTGGATCTAGCTCACATAATCCACACTTAACTGCATTTCAGAGCCAAATATAAAGTTGTTAAAATATTGGAAAAAATAAGGAAATAGCTACATCGTCATAAGGCCTTCTTAAACATGAGATGCAGAACCCATCAAAGATGAACAGCGTTGCCTGCACTTGGAACAACTGTTCCCAGTTTCTCTACTGCAAGTTCAAAGGCACATGGCAGACCCCATATTTGCAAAAACTGACAAAGGATTCATATCTACAAGGTACAAGAGTTTGTCTCCTATAAATCAATATGGAAAAAGACAGACAACCCAATAGAAAAATGGGCACGTAGCCTGAACAGGCAAATACGAAGGAAATAGAAAAGACCAATAAACTAATGAAAAGACAGTTAATCTCCCTAGTAATGAGGAAAATGAAAATGAAAACAATAATGAGATGCCATTTCCCCTACCCGATAAGCAAAAGTTTAAAATATTAATAACATCCACTGCTGGGGGGGAGGGGGCATAATGTTCAGTGGGGTGTGCGCTGGGCCCACTTCTCAGAGTGCCACCTGACGTTAGCCTTCAAAAATGTTTACCAGGGAAGGGATTACGACGTGCAAATTGCCAGTTATAAAAACAGTCACAGGGGCGTAAATTATAGCACAGGGAACACAGTCAATAATATCGTAATAACCATGTAAGGTGTCAGATGGGTGCTAGACTTATCAGGGGGATCACTTCATAAGGTGTATAAATGTCTAATCACTAGGATGTACACCTGAAAGTAACATAATACTGTGTGTCAACTCTAATTAAAAAATAAAATGTATATTTAAAAAAAATGTTTACCGGGGACGTGGACCTAGCAATTCCGCATCAAGAAATCTGCCCCGAGGACACGGATCCAGGCGTGCGGGGATGTACGCCAGGAAAGTCATTGCAACATGTTCTGCGCAAAAATTTGAAGGCAACCGAAATATCCATCGGTAGGGGAGTGACTAGACGAGTTACAGGCTATTCAGACTCTGAAATGCGATGCGGTTGATTTAAAAGAAGAACGAGGAAGGGCTCTTTGTGCTGACATGAATGAATCTCAAAATGACAAGCCTCCTTTTGTTAAGAACAACCCAACCAGTGGTGTGCTGGGCCCGCCCCCCTGGCTCCAGAGAGCCGTCACCGCCCCACCTCCTGCTCCGCACCGCTGACCGGGTATCTATAGGTGGCTTGAAATCAGCCCTGGTGGGAGTATTTATACCATGGAAATTGGAAAAAAACGCTACAGACCAAGGCTTCCCCCCACCCCACCCCACCCCACCCCAGGGAGCCAGAGGTTAAACCTTTATCAGCACACCGCTGAATACCTATTTGTCTTTGTTGTGTGCCGGAGGGTCTGGAAGGAAACACATTGTTCATCAGCAGCTCAGCAGATGCTCAAAGCTGGGCCCTGAAGCCAGATGCCTGGGGCCTAATCCTGGCTCCAGCCCCGACAACCTGTGAGGCCTTGGGCAAGTCAGTTAACCTCTGTGTGCCTCAGTTCCCTCATCTGTGAGGTGGAGATAGTCGTGCCTGCCTCAGGGAGTCGTTGTAGGGAGCAGTGCATGGCACCAAGGAAACGCTCAGAGAATGTTAGCATAACCTCAGGAGGCGGGAGTAGGAGAAGGGCAGGGACCTCGGTGTTTGTTTGTATCTGTACTACCTGTTTTTCACAAGTGCATGTTTC